TTTTTTTTTATGTACTTATATCCAATCAACCCTTAATCACTAGAGTAGCATAAGACTATCCTTATCCCTAACTCAACATAATAATTAAAAATTATCTCTCTCGTCTCCACATACACAACTCAACCTTCTAACTTAACTAATCTTTATCCCCAACCTAATTCAACCTAAATATTTATTTTATTTTAATTTATTTGAAATTTATAATTCTATTCCAAAATATACCAAGTGTGGTCTCTATTTGTATAGAACGAAAAAATACGAACTTTAATATTTTTTTACTTTTTTAAAACAAAAAAAAATATACACTTATACAATCAAAATGAGACAAGTGTCATATTCTCACACTCACACACTACACAGATCGCGACCCAATGTCACAATATGACCTGGGTTGCTAATCAATTTTCACGACCTTTTTTTTTTTTTTTTTAATTGGTGACCCACTCATTGGGTCACCGATAAAGTTAGTCTAATAGAATCGCTATTGTTTCTAATATTTGTTGGATTGTGAACTTATAAATAACTCTGCTCTTAGATTTATTTCAACGTTAGGTAAACAATAAAAATAAAAAATCATAATTTCATTTATTGTGGTTTGATCATAATTTTATAATTTACTTCAATATTAATTGAATAACTAGTATCTTCACCCGTGCGATGCACGAAACATATTTATTAAAATATTTTAATAAATACATTAATATATATATATATATATATCATAAAAAGTAAATGACAAGTAATTAACATTATTATTGAATAGATAGTAAAAGTACAATATTATATGGTATTACAAATTTAGAAAAATTTCTCGATAGACAACATTTTTAGTAGTTTTCTTTTCCCCATTATCGTCCCACCACATATTAATATCTTCAATCCCTGTGGATTAGTGACTCGAGACACATCAACGTATAATTGACCATGACTAATAAACACAGGTCTTTTCATGTAAAGTCCGACATGGGATAACGACTAGTCTTGACTCTTGTTGATCGTCATTGCGTAAGAAAACATAAGAGTAAATTGTCTACGCTGGAACTTGAAGGGTATCCTGAGATCAGATGGAGATAGGAAAAGTCTTGGTACCAGTACCTTATGTCCAGCATTTGATCCTGTTAGAATCTTACATTCAAACACGTGAGTGAAAAGCTTCGGTATCACCAAGCGTGTTCCACTACACAGTCCAATCGAATGGTCAATATTTCTCAACAACATGACAGAAGTCTCAACCTTTAAGTGCAATTAATGATTTGGTACACCAAAGCATTTTATACTATTTAAGAACTCCAGAGTGTGCAGGTCATGCAAGAAATCAATACC